TAAATAAATAATTTAAATGCATAAATAAATAAACATCAAGTTACATTAGGCAAATAATTATAAAATTATTAAAATCATCATTAATATGAAGTAATCTAAGCAGCAAGTATTAAGATATTTCAACAGGGGACAAAAATTTGGTTTCTCAGGCTAATGCAGAATACATTATTCAATTATCGTTATTATTATTAATATTATTGGTATTGTTTCTTATTAATATTTATAAAAAAGGTACTGCTTCCCTGTCAGTTAATCCATGCTGTATAGATGCTGCCACAAAAACAGGTGGCGCTCTCTTCAATTAAAAGAATAAATAAATAAATAAAATAAATCTACATGTAAACTGCATTTTTCTATTCAGCTTTGAAGAATAGTTCTGAGATTCCTCTTTTTGCTCCCTGTATTTCAGTCAAGTCTCCTCAGAGACTTTGTTATACAGCCGTATTCATGTTTCTGTACGCTTGTTGTGCTGAGAAACCAGAAAGTTAGCATCTTTATAAAGCAAGACCCAACCCCACCCACCTCCCCCACCTTCCCCCTCCCTCTTCAAAACCCTTAAAACCCATACAAAGAAAGGTCCTGTGCTGATTTTCCATAATATACAAGATTTCATATTTATAATAAGCTACTATCCTTAGCATTCAAACAATCGGTAAAGATTCATATTTGTTAATACGAGCAATACCAGATTCATAATTTTGAACCCTCCTGGCCCCACTCCTCATTGAACATGCTCAGAGACTAAAAGGGCACAATGGTAGCATGATAAATGTTAAAGATAACGGATGGAATAATGGACGTTTGAAAATAATGCATACAAGAGTGAAAATTGAGTAAAAAGATACGCTTTAGCTCAAGAACATGCAACTTAATTGTAAGACTACAAAAACCATTACTGCCAGTTCCCTTTTTTGTTTTTCAAACCACACACAGATGTTTCGCAGCCTCTCCTTTTCCTTGAAGCTTCCACTTTTTTTAAAAAGCTGTTTTAATTACATTTAATCAAAATGTAATAGTTTGTATTTGTTTCTTTTTTTCATTTTGTTTGTCAGGGTGCAAAAATAAAGTTACATTTTTCAAACCCGTTGCATTTCAGCTACAGCTGTCGTCTTTAATTTGCTTTGTTGTGACGGAGAAATTAAATTTGATTTGAATAATTAAAGGAACAAAACGTCCTCCTTAAGCCCCAGGAGTAAAGATATTTTGACAGGGTTTACAAGACCCTGCATGGCCTGGAGGAAGGAGGGCGTATATCACAGCGTCCTAAAGCTGCTGCGCCCTGACAGCAGCAGGGAAACTCACATTCTCTCGCCGAGGGAAAGAAGCTGTCTCCTGGCAAATATATAAGAAATCTAACCTTTTCACTGGAAATCTATACTGTATATCATTACAGCTCCAGCTGACACTTTTTCCTGCAATGTTTCACAACATCAAATCTTTCATTCTCGCTAAAGAATTCCTGAAAGTTAGCATAGTTCTAAGACTATAAATGGAATCTGGCACATGTTTAAGGACTGATGAGGAACTGCATGGGTATGATTGCATAAATTGGCAACATGATGAGAAAAGGCATAGCTAAAAAGAAAAAAAGTATTTTTTACAAGATTTAAATAGTTCTGCTTCCTCTTTCTAACACTGATGAATCGGTAATCACACAAGGAAAATAGAGCAACAGAGCCAAAGTGAAATCAAAATGCAGGGGCACAGTTGTCAAGATCTATAGAGTACAGGAAACTTTTCTTTTTTTTTTGTACCAAACCAGAAAGGCATTATGAACTCTGCTTCAGTGCGTGGGTCAGGCATCTGAAGCATCACTGTGTCAAAAGTTTAGAAGAGAACGTTGAAGTCTTGTTGAATATGGAGGGGGCGAGATACTTCAGAGAAGAAATAAATAAAAAATATGTGGAATTTTAAATTAGAAATGTACACTAAATTAAAACCTACAATAGGTTGTGGGGAAATCGGTAAAAACAAGCAAATCACAAGCAAGATTTCATCTGGGATGTTTTGAATGTGTGCCTCAGAGCAGAAAACATCACATACTTCATTAATCACTTACAGTATAGCACGACGTGCCACAACCACATCACACAGGAGCCATGTGACTGGCGCTAATGGTTAGCTGTCCCATCAAAGCAGCGTCCTCTCTCACAGGCATCCTGCCGTCTAATTGATGGATCATTTTGCTCCTAATTTGACCTCCTAAGGTTTGTAATGCCAGGCCGCCCCTCACTGTGTACAAGCTCTTAGTGTGCTATTATACCCTTCAAAAAATTATTAAAAAATACAGCTGCTCTTCACTGAAGAACTTGGACAATCTACTCTAAACTCTATATACAGACCTTGTTGCAGCATCAGACACTTTAAGTGCCTTTAAAGAGAACACGGTGCCACTGTCAGATGTGGGAAGTAAAATGGGAAAGAAAAAGATTCCTGCCAAACCAGCGCGAGGATGATCAACTCTGTCACTCAATCAGTTCGTTCGAAATGCCAATGTGTAATAGATTGTGCATCTCCTGCCCTGGGGTGCTGCTTTCCATCTGATCAATACTGTCATTATGGTAATTATGTTAAGCTTTGGGCCCCCCCCTGAACTCATGGTCCCTGTGGAGACAAATTTGCTGGCACTTAGAGGTAAAAATGAGAGAAAGGGGTGGGTGTTTTGGCAGTAGGGAAGGGGCACCACTGGAGTTTTTTCATGAGATCCAGTTGTTATTTCACTGCTGTGTATCCAGATCACCCTGGCTGCATTTGTACCACAGTCCTTTACTTGAGATCTGTAAAACCGAGGCTTCAAACCAGTTACCGTAATTTCCGGACTATTGAGTGCACCTGAATATAAGCCGCGCCCACTAAATAAATAAATAAATACATTGTACATATATATAGTCTGCACTTGTCTATAAGCCGCAGGTCATCACGCATCTGCCTTTTGAAACTCGTTGGTAATAGAGGATTTTTTTTACACTGCTCCTTTGTCAGGATCCACTGGCAGATTTGAGCAAAAGTTGCTTTTCGCATGCGGCTAGTTTAGTTAAATGATTTCTCACTGCCAATCATCCAAGTCTCCCACCGAGCTCGGAGTGCCACATTAATGCACGAGTCACACTTATTTGATCACATGAGATGCAAATGACAATAAAGAAAACCTTGACCTAATTTCGAGTGGCTGCAATGAAACCAAGAGACCAATGAAATCAAGTTTCATTGTTTCATTTTGACCTGTTCGGTAATCTCATTGGTCAGATTAAAAAAAAAAATCTTTATTTATACAGGTAGTCTCACTGAGTCATGAGGACACCCCCCACCTCCCAAGAAAGACATGTATTGGGCAGCTATGTGAGTGCCTGAGTGTGACGAGGCTAAATGTTTTGGCAGGATGAAGCTTGTTAGCCCATCAAAAATAAATACATTTTTAAAATCCTTATATTAGCTGCAGCATTGTATAAGCTGTGGAGTTCAAAGCGTGTGAAAAAAGTAGCGGCTTACAGTCCAGAAATGACGGTAATAGGATATTTTGAAGTTGAATTCTATGTGTGTAGATACGTCTGTGAACAATCTCAGTTTGGAGAAATAGAGTCTGATTCTGCGCTAACAGCTAACCTGAGCAGGGCCCAAACAAAAGTGGATTTTCACAGGTTAAAACAGCTCCAATATCTAAAATTTCAAAGCGGTGCACACAAACGTTTTCCTATAAACCTTCACCATTAATTTCACATTACATCTTTTTTTTTTTTTTTTTTTTTTACATAAACCTTTATGGTTGTTTGCAAGCACAAGTAGTGGCTGCAGCTATGCTAGCAGCACAGGGCAGTTCAAGCACCGATTTCTTATTGTTTCTGCTGAATAACTATGTAATGCAAAATTACCAATGGAGTAAATGTTTATATATGTATAAAAACATAAGTACGCTTTTGTATGAACTATATTTATGACATTGGAGTTGTTTAGGACAGCAGTGACCCCTAGTCCCCCTTTAGCCACCGTTAGCTCATCAAACCAGGCAGTTGCAAACTCTTTTTCTCTGAACTGAGGCTGTTCAAAAATTCATCTACATGTAAGATATTAATTGCTCATAACCTTTCAGCTGAACCCCACTGCAGAAGTCTGGGCTCTCCCTTTAACACCAACATAAAACTATTCCCATTGATGATCAGTCATGGAACAGCAGCATGCTGGGAAAACATTTGGTTTGTAGTTCTTTGAATTTTAGTGCTTTTGTGTCTCTTTTGGCACTGCGGGGCTCTTTTCTTCTCCCTGCGATTCAATAACGCGGACAGATCACACTTCCAAGATGAAATGCTGGGATGAAGTGGTAAAAAATTACATATCTGAACATGCCCGAAACTAACTCATATTTTCTATGCTGCTTAAACAATACAGCTTTATTTTTTTAATACTTTTTTTGTAGTTTTGCTTTAATATTCTCAAACTCAGTAGCTTTAAAGTTAAAAGGAAAACAAATAAAAAAAAATCCTTGCTGTTTTTTTCAACCTGAAGCTATTATTTCTTTTTTAAGTTTAATATTATTATTAGTAGTATGTAGTATTAGTATCATTAATACTATATATATATTACTGCTCAGAAGAATAAAAATGTTTGGTCCTTTGGTCCCTTAGGGGTGAAAGAATTGCAGTTCTACTTTGCTAATGGAAACCTCAGTGACCTCCACGAGTCCTAGCTTTGCGCTTGCTGAGAGACGGTGAGAGAATAAGAGAAAGAGGGACAGAGAAAGAAAGTCCGTCAGTGGATGTAAAGAGAGGTTCTTTTCTCCACTGTTTATTTTATTTTCAAGTTTTAACCCTCATTTGTCCAGTAAAAGCCACAAGCGCCTCTTTCCTTAAATATATATGTGTGTATATAATATGTATATAGAAATCTATTTGCTGTGGCTGCTTTTTTTCCCCCCGTTTGTTAGTTTGTTGCTTACTTAATTCAAGTCTTAACAAAAAAAAAAAGTTCTGTTGTTCCGTTGCGTCCCGTCTCTTTCTGCTTGTTTCTCCTTCTTCTTGCTGTTCCTGCAGTTTGTTGCTGATGCGTCCCCCATTGAAGCGGCTCCTCCTATGTTCCCCCCGCATCTCCTTTTCCTCCTCTATCCTACATCTTCGTGTGTTTATGTTGATATGTCTCCGAAAAATACCTTGCGTGTTGATAATTTTTTTTTTTTTTTTTAAAAACATATTTTGCTTTCAAAGAAAAAAAAGTGGAACTCTTCCAAGATATCTTTACGTGTCCTCTGAAACCTGTAAAACAGAAGAGGGAGGGGGTGCAATTTCAAATTTCACTGCTCATTAAACTGTCAATCCAACAATCTATTTCTTTAAACTTTTGAATTTTTCAGTATGGCTCCATTATATCAGTGTAATGGTCTGAAGAGTGCTAACCTCCATTGGCAGACCAATCAGTCTTTGTCAATCACAATGATGACAGATTTTCCCACAATTAGAAGCATGCCTGATCTGCACCAATATAGAACCAACTCCTCGCAGTTTCTACAATACTGCACATGCATCATTGCTGCGCAACCCTTAACATTTGGCCTTAATATGTTCAGGAGTAAACAAAACCTTTTCAAAAAATATATACCAGTGTGTGAATATCCACACTAGATATTCTGGTCTTCAAAAGGCATGAAGTAGAGCTGACACAATGTTTAAATGTTCAAAGTAAAATGAGCCCATCTTTTCTTAACGTTACAAAAAGTACTAAAGAAAAAGTATTTAATTTTATTTAAATTTACTGCAGTTTAGTCAGGCTGCTAAGTACCGCACATTTTCAAGACTTTTTGTAGCTAGCTTTATTTTTCCTGCAAAGATTATTATTCAACCCTGTATACAAAGCTATTTGAAATGTGTGGGCAGATAAATGGGCAGATAAATATCAGGTTGAAGGGTGTGATGCGTGCCCTTTGCAGTTCAGTAAAGTTTTCTTACTCAATTTGTACAAAATATTTTAATAATTTGCTCCTCCTAGAGTCGGTAGAATGTTTTCTTTGGCATTACAACGGCTCGGTGGTTAGCACTGTTGCCTCACAGCAAGAATGTCCTGGGTTCAATTCCCTGTTAAACCAGGGGACTTTCTGTGTGGAGTTTGCATGTTCTTTTTGTGCTTGCGTGGGTTTTCTCCGGGTACTCCGGTTTCCTCCCACAGAATAAAAATGCATGTTAGGCTGCTTTCAGGCCCAGGCCTCCCTTGCAAAAGAAATGTGTGATTTCAATGGGATTTGCCTGGTTAAATAAAGGTTAATAAATAAATAATGCATTCTGTGCGAGTCCAAAGAATCCACATTAGTGCGTAACAGTGAGATAACTGTGGTGTTCATGGAAATGTACAAACAGACCTGAGCTTAATGCATTTGATCTTCTCTCTGGGGGCCAATTCCAAAATGTGTCAGGCTTCTTTGTAAATTCAGTTTTAAATAGTTTCTGATTATTATTTGCAAGACGTTTACAACATGACAGCTGTAGTTCCTCAAGATGTTTGTTCATTTTTGGGCTTAACGTGATCTCTGTTGTTTTTATGTAAATTAAAAAATTTTTTCACAACAAATCTAGAAAATTAATAGTCAAAAGATTGATTTATTCTTTTAGTTTTCGCCTGCTTTATGGGGATTCTTAATGTACATGTTCAGGGAGCCATAGGCAGCTACATACAGGAATCTGTGGCTGCTGGTTGTTGGGACAAGACCTGAAAGGTCAGAACATTTTTGCTTCATTTATCCACTGTTTAGTTCTTTTGTGCTTGAATTATGACACACAGAGTACCAAAACATGTATGCTGCTCCTTCCTTTCTTAAAAATTAATAATACTAAAAGAGCAGCAGAAATATGATAGAAGTGCATTTTTACCTTTGCAAAACAATTGTTTAATTATTATTATTATTATTTTTATTAGACGTTTAGACCAAAATTAGACATTTTATTTTGAATTACAAATATTTAATCTTTGACTTCAGGCTTTTTAGAGATCAGCTCATTTTCAATTAAATTCTATTCAAAAATACTTCATTAATCCCAACATTTTCTAAACATACACAGTAATTAATGTAGCTTTTCAGTTTTGAATGGTCTATGAAGTTGCAAAAATAGTGCTTGAACTTTAATTTGCCCAGCCAAATCACACAAAATGAGAGTTCAATCTTTAAAAATTGCTGAACCACTGATTTGAGCCAGCTCTCTGACATTTTTTTGGCCTCACCTGTGCTGCTGCAGAGAATACTGACGATAGGCTGTGTCAGTAAGGGCGACTAGCATCCTTCGGTCTCTTTAGTTGGACTTTTAGTCTCTTCATCCCAATCTGAAAGCCGTTCATAGCCTGAATAGCTGCCTGTGCACTGGCAGGGTTGTCGAAGCTTACAAAACCTGCAAGTAAAAATGACAATCTCATGAAACCAAACATGTATACAAAAAAATAAATGTGATCTTTGTGCCTTAACAATCTTGCAAAATGCTGCATGCAATTAGAATGCAATATCTACTCTATACTACTACTACTACTACTACTACTATTACTACTACTACTACTTCTACTACTACTACTACTACTACTACTACTACTACTTCTAATAATAATAATAATAATAATAATAAAGATACGTTATATAAATATAATAAAAAATACAGCAAATAGAACAATAAACCCAATGAAAAAACAAGAAAAACAATTAATAGTATAAAATAGTACAAAGGAAAAAATAGCAATAGCAAAGTCATGGACTTTTAAAATTGTATTTGTTTATATTTTTTCAGGATATGCACTCAAGAGGAAGGATGTAGATGATAAATAGGAGAGATCCAAGAATGGAACCTTGGGGTACACCAAAGGACGGGGGGAAGGTTGGGATGAGATTGTTTTGAGTTGAATAAACTATGTCCAGAGAGATTAGTCCTAAACCAATTAAGGTTGCGTCAGACGTTCCAAAGAGGCTAGGCTGTCAATGAAGACTGTAATTGTGTGACATGCTGCACTCAACTTGAGGAGGGTGAAAATAAAAAGTAATCAAGTATCAGCAGCCACGAGGAAGTTATTGGTAATTTTAACACAAGCTTTTTCAGTGCTATGAGTTGATAAAAAAATAAAATAAAATAAAATAAAATAAAATAGACTGGAACTGTTTTTAGAATTTATTTATGACTTGTTGAAATATTAGTCCAACTTCATAGTGGGCAGTTACACGACTACACTCTATATTATTATTATTAGAATTTTCTATCTCTGGAAGAGATGTGATATTAAGCTGCTTTTGTCGCCCTTGTCTTGAATTTTGCAGGGGAATAAAAGGAACAGCTTATTTTAGAGGGCCCAATTAAATAATGTAACGGGGAAGTAAACCACTGTAAATATGTATAGTCATGAACTATGGGGGGATAAAAAAATTTAACCGAATGATTGTACAGTCTTTGAAACTGCCCGCATTTATAGACAAAGTTGGACCATCTCTAAATTTCCCACATTTAATGGAAACACAAATTCGATTGCAGTATTAAAAACATTTACGTACATCTCACTGCACAAAAAAATAGTCTGATCAAAACAAAATGCAAGCACGGGAAAACCAGTTTTCTGCAGAGACAAACCCATCAGTGCATTTTTCCAAGATCCCTCTTCAAACCTACACTGAACATCTTGTGTTTATCATGTATAAAAATAAAGCCTTGAGATTTCAGTGACCAGAAACTGCAACTGAGTGCATCTTTGCTTGATGTGCTCCCCTGTGTCTGTAGAGCCATTAGGTACAGTTAATGACCCATGAAAAACAACAGGGGCCCCTCCACGTCCTTGCCACCTGGGAGACAGTGTGCCTGGCCATCCTGGGTCTGGTTTGGCCCATTAGGGCTTGGCGGCAAAGATGAGGCTAGCATGAAATGCCGGAAAAAAGGAATAGAGGTAGAAAACAGAGGTGATCTACCATCAACTCAATGTGTTTAAGTTTGGGGTGGAAGGAAGTAGAGGCAGAAATGAACTACTCTTACAATCTCATCACGGAACATACACCCACTTTTTCTCTGTCTCTCACATTTTCTGTCTCAGTTTATCCCTTCTTTTGTCTTTTTTAGAATAATTACACATCTTTGTTTCCTGTCCTGTTTTTTAGCCTCCCACCAACCATCATTGCCAAGCTTTTCTGCACCTGTGTGGTTAGCCTGTGGAGCTATACATTGGTCATAACTTGGTCAGATGTATGGATCAGCTTCAGCAGTAAAAGCTTAGGGGTGAGGGTTACAGAACAGTGATGAGGATGCTGATAAAGCACCTCAGGGTTTCTGGGTCAAACATTTGTAAAGCAGAAAAAAACATATGATTGATTATTTGGCTAGTAGGCAAAAATGTGACAAGAGATCAAGATCCGAATTCAGTCGCATAGTCAAATACGTTTGACTATCTTTTTTAACTCTGGAAAAATTAGTTTTTTTTTCACACATCCTACCCCAAAAGGTCAAAATAATAATTTAAACTATAAGCATTCACAATGTTTTGTGCAGGGGTATACTGATGGGCATTTATGCTGGATGTACTATATGTCTAAAATAAACAAGAAAACTGTTCCTCTTTACCTTTAAATTTGAAAACCAGCACTCACACTAGTGTTTTCCTGTTTTTCCCCCCGAAGGCATTTTAAATACTAAGTTTTTAGTACTTATGCAAACTTTGTGCTATTCTAATCATTCATTTATCAAAATGTTCATTCAGGAAATGAGTGCTATGACTTTTCATTTTAGTAACTTTTAAAATATTAAAAACATTTAACTATATTTAAAAACGTTTTCTTGAAGACATCCATTGAGAGCTCTTCATTTCCTTGAAAAACTCTTGGGAAACTGTGGCTACGTTTGGTTTGGCTTTACCATTCTGCTACTCTTAGCTTTTAGCTAGCTAGATTTTTTTTTGGCATTTAGCTTGCATTTTGATTATTTAAGCTTTTAGCTAGAGTTCCATTTATTTTAGCTTTATCAGCTTAGTTTCAGCTTCTTCAGCAATTGTCAGAAAAATCATTCAGCACTCAGCAGTTACATGGCTTTTCTAAACATGGTTGTTATTATTATATAATTGTACATCTTTGTCCCTTGTGCTTCTTGTGCATATGTGAAAATGAGTAACTCACCAAAACATTTGCTCTGGTTGGTTGCCCGGTCCATGAAGACTTTAGAAGAAATGACCGTACCGAAGGGCAAAAACATCTGCATGAGTTCATTGTCTCCAAACTCTTGTGGCAGGTGGTAGATGAACAGGTTACAGCCCTCTGGACCTGAATATATATATATATATGTATATATATATATATATATATATATACATATATATATATATATGTATTTAAAAAAGGAAACATTTGTCAGTGTTATTTTTATGCATCTTTTATTTTTGCTGTTTTTGTTAAATATATACAGTAAGACTAAAATATCACAGTTCTCAAACACAAAAAGATCCAACTAGCTATGCAAAATAAATACATACATTAGTCTGCTACATTTTCTTGTGATTTTGCTGATAAAATGCTAACCAAAAAGCCTTTGAAGTAACTTGTAATGACTTAAAAATGATCCAATAATTCTCAGTCGGGTCATCTGGACAGTTTCTTTTTTATAGAGACGTTTCGCCCTCTATCCGGAGGGCTAGAGGGCTCCTCATAGAGGGCGAAACGTCTCTATAAAAAAGAAACTGTCCAGATGACCCGACTGAGAATTATTGGATTTGGTACCTGGATTGAGCATGAACTTTGTCGACATAAAAACGAGTTTTACTCTCAGAACATTTGCTTTTCAAGATGCTTTTCTATATTGCTCCATGTTTTACTTAAAACGTATTCCTATGTCAAACCTGTGTTGGTGCAAAACTCAATACTGACGTGTATTATGTGCGATTCTGCGTCCCCAATTGTTTCAAATTATGTCTTTAGTAATAACCTCATTTTTTTCTTTTTGACATAGCTTTTTCCCCCCTTATTTTTGGCATGTAGCCAATATGGGCAAAATTTCCAACAAACCAATTCACTTTTCGTTCAAAAGATGCCCCAGTTTTCATACTACTATCATTTCAACGAGGTCATAGCTGTTGTTCGTGTTAGGAGCAGCAACCCATTTCTTACAGCTTTATAATTTATTTTCATAAAGGTCTGTTAATCTGACTAAAACCAAAACCTGTATTGGGTTTCATAAAGGATTTTAAAATATATATATAAATTATGCTTCATATATTTAGTGCATGATCTACAGCTTTCACTGGAGCGGTTCGCAGCCGAATGCGACGCGGCCGGGATGAAGATCAGTTCCTCCAAATCCGAGGCCATGGTCTTGAGCCGAAAAAGGGTAGAGTGCCCTCTCCGGGTCAGGGAGGAGGTCCTACCCCAAGTGGAGGAGTTTAAGTATCTTGGGGTCTTGTTCACGAATGAGGGAAAAATGGAGCGCGAGATCGATAGGCAGATAGGTGCAGCGTCTGCAGTGAAGCAGGCGCTGCACAGGTCTGTCGTGGTGAAGAGAGAGCTGAGTAAAAAGGCGAAGCTCTCAATTTACCGATCGATCTACGTTCCCACCCTCATCTATGGTCACAAGTTTTGGGTTGTGACCGAAAGAATGAGATCTCGGATACAAGCTGCCGAAATGAGTTTTCTCCGCAGGGTGTCTGGGCTCTCCCTTAGAGAAAGGGTGAGAAGCTCGATCATCCGGGAGAGACTCAGAGTAGAGCCGCTGCTTCTCCACGTCGAGAGGAGCCAGTTGAGGTGGCTTGGGCATCTTTTTAGGATGCCTTCTGGACGCCTCCCTGGTGAGGTGTTCCGGACACGTCCCACCGGAAGGAGGCCCAGAGGAAGACCCAGGACACGCTGGAGCGACTTTGTTTCTCGGCTGGCCTGGGAACGCCTCGGGATTCCCCCGGAAGAGCTGGCCCAAGTGGCTGGGGAGAGGGAAATCTGGGCCTCCCTACTTAGGCTGCTACCCTTGCGACCCGACCCCGGATAAGCGGAAGAAAATGGATGGATGAATGGATATTTAGTGCACCTGTTGGGGACTTTATGTAAAGGTCATGGATGTTTTCACTAATGTTACACTGATATAAAACCATGTATGTAAAGTCAAGATGTCTCTTTGTCCACTCAGAGAAAAGTCTGAAAACTGATAACTTCTGACACCTTCAAGAACTGTGAGCTGTGATGCAGAGGTTGTGTTGACCTCGCCTCTGTCTGATAATGGGTATTTAAGCTTTTCCTAACTCTTTGTCTGTGGGCAGGCCTTGGACTAGAGCTTCATATAACACCATTGTAAGCCTGTTTCCAATGCTGCACCCCTTGCAAGAAGTAAACCTGGGTTGAAAAACAATCTTCTTGGATCCTCTCTGTGAGGCTTATTTGATTAATGAGTTGATGGTAGGATAATTAAATTATTCAACAGAACCTTTATGTTCAATATAATGTAAGCGTTAGCTCAGAATCAGTGTGAACTAAACTCTTTCACTCTGTTTACTCGTCCTGTGGAACTGATGTGTACAGTCAGTGTAAAAAAAAAAAAAAAAGCAATATTGGTCTCTCAAGTTCATCTCTGCTCTTATATCCATTACAATGGATATGAGGTGTGTGAAGTGTAAAAGTAATAATGTTCTCTCACCCTCACCTTCTCTCTGCTGCTGCTGGATGACCTGGGGTGGTTGGGGCAGTGTTTGGCCAATGGGAGTCAGTGTGGTGGCTGGGTAGATGGCTGCAGAATGGGCGAAGAAATGAGGGAGAGAGGAGTGTAAAAACAGAGATCCTGCAGAGAATGGTGTCAAGGATGCTTAAAGTCGATCATACAGGTGCAATGTGAGGAATCAAAGACTCTGAGGTTGCGCTGTTCAACACTATCTGAATACGTACAACCTCATTTTGTAAACATCCTGCGGTAATTATCTTGTAGCTTTTTGTAGCACCTCTCACCTGTGTATTGCTGCACACCGGTGAAAGCTTGCTGGAGGGTGTCAGCTGCGGTTGGGCTCTGGGTGGAGTAGGGCGGCAAGCCGTTGGTGTACACAGTTTCCACAGCAGGATGCCCATTGGGCTGATGAGGGATGCCGGTGAAGCCGTTGACAATGGGCGTGACGATGCTGGGAACAGCGGAGGTGGTGATGTTGGCTGGTGGAGAGCTGAGGCCTGCTGGAAGGAAGGTTTGCCGTTATTGCGTCATGGAGCTTGCCGTCTGCATGGACTTGTATGACACAAACACACACACACACTACGGTTTTAATGCACTAATCCACATGCAAGCACACACTAACCGAAACCCATTACACACACACACACAAGATATATTGCATCCTCTCTCTAATGCAAGGACACATGTGCGATGTGAGTCTGTCACAAATCTGCCGTTTGTCGTAACACATCCTGCTGAATAGCTTGGAAGTCAACCTGTGAAAAATGAGCCTGTCTGTTGTGTTTGTGCGATACCCTGCTGGCTCCTATTGCTCAAGATGATGAAACCACTATGCAACTTCAGAAAGAAAAAAAAAAATGGGGGGGGGGGGGAGGAGGATAGGAAAGAAAACATAGAAAATGATCTGGTCTAGATAGCAGCAGATTACAGAGAGAGATTTGCTTCAATGAGCAGGTGTGGCTTGTATTCAAAGAAGCCTCTTATACTTTTATACATTATATAATAACAACAAGCCAAAACAACAACAGTTGGCAGTTTGACAAATGGGTGGGTCATAACATATATGGTACACACCTGACAGGCTGCCGCAGAGACGTTCACGAGTGGAATCAGAATAGAATGCCTCCTGCTCTCTGTCATTCAATGCATTTTAAAACAACTCCCGGTTAGGAAGTGCTTCCAATTATGCTGGGAATATTGAAGTGCCCATTCTGAGCAGAATCCCACTTTGTGATGGCCTCTCTAAAGGATCTTCTTTGTGGCAAAGCCTCAGAGCTAGTTGAAGCATGGCTCCCCAGAGGACCACTTCTCAATCTGGAAAGCCTCACCCTGATTGGACAAGCAAACCAGGTTGTCACGGAAACCCGTCAGCATGTCATATCCCCACAATCTGGTACCTCAGTAAGGACCCCGCTGTGAGTGGCAGTTCAGAAATGCTAAACAATCTCTTCCAATACAGACAAAACGTATGCTGGGATGGAACTGTAAATAAGCTGTATAAAAACACACCCAAAGCTTTCATCACACTAAGGACTGTGTGGGCTTGCTGTTCTTATTCTCTACACACGATTCCACTTATTCTTTACTTTTCTCTGCTCCTTATCTTTCTTTTTCAGCATATAAGCCATTGAGGAGGCTGACAGTTGCTCAAACAACTGGGGTGACCAGGGGAATTGCTCCAGTCCAGCAAGAGCTGTTGTGGCTTTTGTGTCTTTTGCACAGGTTTTCTTTCTCTTTTTCTCCTCTTTTTTTTTTTTTTTTTTTTTTAAAGAAGACTCCCTGCGATTACTTGTTTCTTGCAAAGCTGTGATGAATTAGACTGCAGATTCAGCCCATTCTCCTACCAGGACCCAGGAGACTTCGGCTTCTACTTTGAAGGCTCGAGGCAGCTAGTCTGCTCAGGCCACACGCACTCTACTGTACCACAGATAATGCATCCTCTCCATCATCAAGCAAATTCATTTTCCAAAGCTTCCAAAGCTTAGCAGTGCTGTGGGGAGCTCACGTCTACATATAGGCAGTAGTTGAAGTGATAGTAACTGTAGTAGCTGCACTGTGGGCCTCTCACATCAAACTAGAGTTCCAGGGTCAGTAGTTGAACGGAGTTTTGGTTCTAAAGGAGAGCAGTCCCGTTTGGTCAATTTATGGAAACAGCTACAGTATAGAATAATTAAAAAGAATAAAAACTACATCCAAAGTTTTGTCTTCCCAACAAGGCCTTTAACCCTTAAAGAATAAGATCATATTGTATAAAACAATGAAGTTATATCCATTGGATCAAATTTTGATTATGCCAATAACTAGATTATCATTTAACAACAACAAACTTTAGCTCAGTGTCTTTAAATTTGGTCATAGACAGTTTTGTGTCATCTAAGGTCAGTTAGCTGTGGCAGCTATCTTGTATTGTGTTGACTCCAAATGTTGATCAGCTGCAGTTTGTCAACCCAAAGATTTCTTTATGAATATAT